ACCGTTCTCGTCGAACCCGTCGCTTGCGACGAAGGGCTCGACGAGTAAATTAACTCTCAGACACAGCCCACTGAGTTTCTCGCCGGATCTTCTCAGTGGGTCGCGTTTCCGATCCGGTGGTAGATTCTGCGAAGCACGGCTCTTGCTAGGGTTCGTGTTAGCAACGTCATCAGGTTTGAGCCCCGTGAGCTCACCTACAAAAGTTAGGGTTACGCTGACATAGCCTCTCAAGGCTCTCAGCTTAGGTAGGAAAAAAAAAAAAAAAATATATACTCGGTTTAAATGGAAACAGTCTGTCGGATTAGTGATTAATATATGGTTCTCCAATTTCATAATGTACTAGTTCAAATGAAAAGAAAACCTGAATATTGTCTCAAATCAAGCAGTAAGCTTCACGTTGTGTTATTTATAAATAGCTTTTGATCGCTTTACTGGCTTGAGTTTGTCTGCCTAAAGAAACTAATAACAAAAGTACGACACTTAAAGAAAATTGGTTGAATTTGTACAGCATTTTCAAACTTGGGTAATGTAACTGGATAATGTAATCAAAGAATTTAATTATTTGATTAACATAATTAACATCATCACCTTCTAATGAAACATGGCCTCCTCCAACGTGAATTGGAGAATCTAATTTTGAAAAACATTTTCTTGCAGCAAAAAAAAATAATTAGGAATTTTCTAGAATTTATTTTTCAAATTTTTATTATTAATCATTGAAATCTGACCGCACTTGTGAGTATAATTGAATATTTGAGAAACACAATTTTTTATAATTACTCAAGCGCTGCTCTGTCATAAATTGATCGTATTACGTTAATAGTCTAGTCAACAAGTTCAAAAACATGTTAAATAGACATAAAGCTCCTAAAAATATGTACGATAGCTCATTGGATGCGGAATGATGTCTACAAAAATGTTTTTTAAGGGCTTATTAGCACATAAAAAATTGCGATTGTTATAAACAAAATAAGATTTAAAAAAAAAGGAATTTGGTTTTTCCTTAATAATTTCTAAAATAATGATATTTAAGGAATTTTGAAAANAATATAAAAGGGACGCATATAGGATAGTTTACTCTTTCATAAGTTTCCGTCATAAATGGATATAGCGTCATGTGTACATCCGGAGTGCTATTATATTTCCTTCTTCAAGTGAGGTTTGAAAAGAATTTGAGCGCACATCTTTCTCTCTTTCTTTTTCAATCCAGCTTATGTTTACATTCTGTGCGCTTGTGACTCTTCTTTCATAGGTTTCAAGAAACACGCACAAAGTTATTTACTTTACTTTTTTTTTATTGCCGTTATAGGCAGACGAGCATACGGCCCACTTGATGGTGAGTGGTTACCGTCGCCCATGGACTCCAGCAATGCCAGGGGCAGAGTCAAGCCGCTGCCGCGCTGCCTAAAATTTCTACGTTATAGTCATCGATTTTTTTTCTTTACAACATAACTATTAATTTCCACAACGATAGTGATAAGTTTACTGCAACGCCTCCATTAAAATTACCGAAATAGTTTCATATAGATTACGATGCTATTGAGAAAACCTCCATTGGAATACGAGGATTTAAAGACAAATGGAGGAATTTGTTACAGATGAATCACAAATTTATAGACAGTAGGCACCGGCTTGGCTTTGCCCCTGGCATTGCTGACGTCCACGGGCGACGATAACCACTCAACATTAGGTGGGCCATACGCTCGTCTGCCTACAAGGGTAATAAAAAAATAAAAAGATGGAACTTAGCTGCGTTTTCAAATTTTGTCGCATAACCAAAAATTGGATTAAATTTCTTACCGCATTTGTTTTTTAAATACATCGCCACCTTTATTTGGGACTATTTATGCGCACTATCAGAAGTCTTAGGCATCGTGGTATCTCTGACATTTTGATATCAACACGAGACTAAGAAGGCTATAAATACGGCAATTAAAACAGATTGATTGGAAATAAGGGAAAATGTTTCTTTTTTACCTTCGCAGCAAATTCATTGCTATGCCAGCAATACAAAAACAATTGTGAAATCTGTCCGATCGAGTACTGTATGATCCAAATCCTTTGAGATATGGTTGTTTCACTCTGAAACGAATGAGAGAAAATTCCTAATTTTATTTTATATGTTTAGAAGATATATTTCTTATACCTTTAATAATTGTCTTAGAAAAATTACATAGCATTGTGGTCTCGATGGAGCTTTATCCAGATCGGAATTGATAATTATGGAATGTTCAGATTTTGAAATGAATAAGGAGTTCACGTTTCAAAATGTTAATTCTACATAAATATTGTTTCTTGTTCGGTTTCATTATGATTATTAAGACAGTATGGCTTATACAGGACTTTGTTAATTTTAATCTAGTTAATTGTCATTTCCTTCGTGTGTTTTTGAAGTTGGCATCTTCCTTCTTTAAGTTCTTTATAAATATACCGGAACTATTCAAAAAATCATTCCACCGCCTTCCCTTCTACATTAATACCTTACAAACCATATTCTTTTGTCCCTTCTCAATTACGAATAATCAGGATACTTGGGATTCTGTGATACATGTCATTTTTTTTCTTTTCTGCTTATGGCCCACGTTAGTTCCTTACTACCTTACTAACTACCTACGTACTACCTCGATTTTGGTACAATGTAGTAAGTACTTGTAGTACTTGTACTAAACTGATATTTTTAATTCCACCAGTTAGGTTGAGCTTCGACCAATAAATCTAGCAAATCAAATATTTTAGTACAAAATTTACTGAATCGGATACTTACTGAATCCAACTGTATAATACTGCAGCAGATCGTAAATGAACATATGAGCATGTAGACGAACATTATGGGTGACAGCAGCGAGTTGAACATGTAGTAATGTCTACAACAAAAAGATTTCATCATCAGCCTGTATCTCTCCACTACTGGATGTAGGCCTCTCCCATAGTCCGTCACAACGAACGATCCTCCGCCTTCCGCATCCAATCTTTTCCAGCATATCGCCGCAAGTCATCGGTCCAACGGGCAAGGGGACGCCCAACGCTGCGCTTACCGGTACGCGGTCTCCAGTCCAGAACACGTCTGCTCCATCGGCCATCGGTTCTGTGACACGTATGTCGGGGCCCATTGCCACTTCAGCTTGCTAATCTTTAGGGTTATGTCGGTTACTTTGGTTCTTTTCCTCATTTCTGACTCGATCCATCAAAGAAACTCCGAGCATACACCTTTCCATAGCACGCTGAGCGACTTTGAACTTACGGACCAAACCTACGGTCAATGTCCACGTTTCAGCGCCATATGTCATGACCGCCAAAAAGATTTATTACAAAGAAAAACAAAACATTTTCCTTTTGCTTATTCTAGATTTTCTATAATGATGATATATTCATGTCATATATTCTATTTTCAAAGACAGCACACCATACATATCCATGAACTTAATGCAGCGATTGAGTCCCCACACGCATTATTAATTTCATCAAATATAACATTCAGATATATTTAATGTAAGGAGGGTTCATTAGTTACTTCGTTGGAACTCAATCTTCATCTCTTTTGCCTGTGTCTTAAAATCAGCAGCTTCATTTATTCTGAGTTTTGCTTTATAAAGCACAGGTCCGGCCTCGCATGGAGTACTGCTCCCATCTCAGGGCCGGGGCTCCCAAATACCAGCTTCTTCCATTTGACTCCATACAGAGGAGGGCCGTTCGGATTGTCGATAATCCCATTCTCTCGGATCGTTTGGAGCCTCTGGGTCTGCGGAGGGACTTCGGTTCCCTCTGTATTTTGTACCGTATGTTCCATGGGGAGTGCTCTGAGGAATTGTTCGAGATGATACCAGCATCTCGTTTTTACCATCGCACCGCCCGCCACCGGAGTAGAGTTCATCCATACTACCTGGAGCCACTGCGGTCATCCACAGTGCGTTTCCAGAGATCTTTTTTGCCACGTACCATCCGGCTATGGAATGAGCTCCCCTCCACGGTGTTTCCCGAGCGCTATGACATGTCCTTCTTCAAACGAGGCTTATGGAGAGTATTAAGCGGTAGGCAGCGGCTTGGCTCTGCCCCTGGCATTGCTGAAGTCCATGGGCGACGGTAACCACTCACCATCAGGTGGGCCGTATGCACGTCTGCCTACAAAGGTTATCTAGACTCTACAAATACGCCATCGGATTGTCTATCCAGATTTACTAAAACGTTATTATTTGCACGACTCAGTCATGAGGTCTGGCTACCATGATGGTTTTCATGTTAACCACATAAACTAACAACAAAATAACCCACACAATAATATCTGAACTGAAAATAAAATAAAAAATAACCATTACCACTCACCTTAACAATATATTATGATGTCTGTGACAATCTCTAATGCGATTCAAAACATCCCTACTTGAGGCTGTCTCATCGAAAATAGCCTTACATTTATCCTTTAAAATACTCGTTTGCCCTTTGAGATAAGACATTACAGCGACGGCGTTCATATCGTATGTGGCAACGACCCCGCAGCCTTGGATTGACATAATGATATGGACCATAGTTGCCCAAAAGTAGCCTGGCATCCTAGCGCTGTCAAATGGAAACCACGAGCATAGTATCAGTGGAGGGGGCTCTGTAACATTCTTTATTTCCGAGCGATATATCTCGGATGACGCGTATCTTAGCAATGGAGATGTAAGTAGCACAACGTTTATACCGACAACTAGAAACCAGTAAACGTAAGTCACCGCTCTGGTATAAACCGTATATTGCCTCAAGCGTTTCACTATGTTTTTGTCGGTGGTTTTCATCAACTCTAGCTCCAGTTCGGATATTTCGCGTACCAGAACCTTCAAATGGGATTGGCGGCAGACGTACGATAGAGTTTTAATCATGCAGATTGTGCTCAGAACGGTAACTGATAAATTATTTAGCATTTTGCTAAGGTCTTTCCTAACCGTGTAAAGGTCTATGTATTCTGTTATTACAAACAAAAAAGTCAAGAAATGGAACGTATTGTAAATGACTGTAGATTTCCGACTTCCCGTTTGCCATAATCCAAACACGGATAAAGCTTTTAATGTTGGCCCCAGCAATGGGTGCGTCGGATCTTCAAGACCCTTAGTTAATGCGAGCATCTTCTTCAAAGCCATGTTTGTTGGCGAATGAAAAACGATATTTGAGTTCTGTTAGCTTCGAAAGTCTTCGTTTAATTTCCAAAGTGCCCAATTAGCAAATAGACGGTCATTTTTACAAGAATTTATTTTTGATTTCGTTAAAGGAAAGTGTTAAATTGGCCGCGAAACAAGGGTTCGGTAGGGTTCCGTAAATTTAAAATTTTCGTTTGCTCATAACCTATCACAGAAATTAAACAGGCGTTAATGTGATCAAATAGATATATATTTACTGCTATTATACGTATGTTTCGCTGATGTGTGTGATGTGACATGTGCGTTAGTTTTGTAATTAAAATATAATCGACATGCAATTTCTTGAGATTAAAAATAGCCCCTTCAACTCGTCGTAAAAATATGATCATCTTCATTCATTGCTGTATTATTAAAGAAAGAAACTAAAGAATGTATAGATTTTCGTATTGATGGGCACAATTATTTAATCTTCTTCTTCTGAGTCGGTCTCTTCATTACTGAAGGTCGTGTCTAATCTAAAATGTGGACCACTCGATGCACAATGCTTCCCCACGCCTTCCTGTCCTCGGCGGTCTTTATAGCCTCGGTTATTGGCAGGCCGGTGAGCGTCTTAACCAGATCAGACCAGCGGATAGGTGAGCGTCCGCGTGATCTTCTCCCGTCAACCTGACCAACTACCATCAGCTTCTCCAGGTTATCGGGGCCTCTACGAGCGATGTGGCCGAAGTACGCGAGAATACGTTGGAAGCAATTTTTTAATAATTATAGATAAATACCAGCTATATCCGCCCGCTTCGCTGGGCATTTAAAATTAACATTATTATTTCTCACCCCCACGAAGATTCTCATAATTAACGCCCCCGCAACTGGTGTAGGGAGTCCAACACTCAAATAAATATTAGTCTATCCATTAAGTACATGTAATTTCTACATGGTTACCAAGTTTCAAGTCAATCGGATGCATGGATCAGTAGTTATAACGGAACATCCGTAAAAACCACTGTAGTTTTATATATTAGTATAGATATAGAAGTATAGATTAGTTTCACCTTATGTCTTAGGGTTGGCCATTGCTTTTCAAGAAGACGCCTTCCGGGAGATGGCTTCCGCCAAATATCGGGCTAGGCTTGTGCGCTGCCTCTGCGTTGGGACAGTGTAGTCCATGGTCTTGTACGGAGCTGCGTCCTAACCCGTTGCGAACGTTGCGTTACTGGGTCACAATCTTTCATCTATTATCTTTTTTAAGCTTGTATTGGAAGTAGCCTTAACTAAAATATCCTCGACATACAGCGAACAATGATAATGGAGGGATCCATTGGAAAAGCCCCGGTCAGCAAATCAACGAAAAAAGAAATTTTTGATACAGAACCCATCGACATGGTAAAACCGTTAACACGATTAGTTTCAGAATAGAATTGAATATAATTACTAGTAAATTTTCAGTTCAATTATTTAGTATAATTGTAGGATTTCCATTTTGCAAATAAAGCCCTTTTGTTAATGAGTCTTCAATAGTCCGTAAATACCGGTTATTTTTTTATCATAAATATGATTCAGGTTTCTCCGAACCATTTCCCTACTTAACGTTTTAAATGATTAAAAACAAATTAATGATTTAATATTAAATTTACTTAATTTTTTAAAATGAAGAAATTACTATTTGGACAAATGGGCGAGAAAGGCCAGGAACAGCCAGGAGGCAGGCATTTGCTAACAGCTGCCCGAGCGTCTCAAAAGGAGTCTTAACAATTCAAGAGCATCTGTGATGTAAACTTCTTAGTTGAAATTATTAGCCATAAGTTGACGTCATTGTCAATCTATTTTATTCGTTATTTGTCAATGTACCTAATGTAATCAAAGCAAATTTTACTGTTAATTTTAGCTTATTAAAACCTTATATTCAGTAAAGGTTTTCTCTTATTACAATTTAATAAGCTAAAATAAATAAAAAATGGATAGATATCTCCGCCCTGAAAGGTTTGATATCGACCCGTCAGATAGCTCTAGTACGAGAGCTTGGATACATTGGCGTAAAACCTTCGAAAACTTCATTTTCGTGCAGAAGCCGGCCGTTTCAGAAACAGATGCACAGTCGGTTCGTCCGCCAGAAAAATGGGACAGCATAAAGTTTCAACTTNCGCCAGGATTTTTAAAAGATTATGTTTTAAAATAGTGCGGGAGAATGATGTAAACTTCTTAGTTGAAATTATTAGCCATAAGTTGACGTCATTGTCAATCTATTTTATTCGTTATTTGTCAATGTACCTAATGTAATCAAAGCAAATTTTACTGTTAATTTTAGCTTATTAAAACCTTATATTCAGTAAAGGTTTTCTCTTATTACAATCTGCTTCGCGAATTAATCTACTACCGGATCGGAATCGCGACCCGCTGCGAAGATCCGGCGAGAAACTCAGCGGGCTGATGAATAGGTTAGGTTGCACGTCGAACTCTTGGCCAAGTTCTACGAGAACGGTTACCGGGGTCCCTAAGCCTGCTCCTAGTGTTAGAGTTGAAGGCGTCTAGTGCTAAGGTTAATGGATCGTGAGGACGTGTCTAGGGCGTCGACGCTGATTGGCTCCTTCGTGAGCAGAAGTCGGGGAGTAGTCAGCGTCGGCAACGATAAGGCGTTTATCATAGCGGACCTAACTACTGGTGATAGAGGAGTATTGTGAGTCTAATTATCTGGTAATACCATTATGCCCGTTTCTGCCACGCTGCAGCAATTTATTCTAGTTTGAAGGATGGAACATTTCTCAGAGAATACAACGGAACATGTTATAAGGTCTACCGACTCCTGTAACTAACTAACATCAGGTAAGTACACCGTAACATTTGAATGCTGGTAGATATTGGTGAGTATATTATATTACGTATATACTATTCTTCTTTTTAGTCGTTTGCACTCTTGGTAGAGTGGTCAAGGTCATCAGTTCGGGTGGTGGTGTGCTTCACAAGACGTCGCCGTTCCTCGCGTACCGTGGCCACTCTTGTGCATTCGTTGACGGAAGCGTTTAGAGATAGCTACCTTTATTTGGTCAGTCCATTAACTATAATATCTAACGTATATATTTACAGCTCTAAACAATTCAATTAGCGAACAAATATATATACAACCAATGTTCCTTTATCATTTCGTATCACAGCATTCCCCGTTCAAGCAGAAGTTCCAAACAGTCATTATGTTAATAATGCCGATAACGGGTCGAATTCGAGGCTTTTATTACGAGTCTTGTCGAAGTTTCAACAGCCAATTTGGCGTACCCGCGTCAACGTCCCGAAATCACCAATTACGAAAGAGAGGGGAGGGGGCTCTACGATGGAAATTTTAATGGAAAAAACTTGCTAGTCATTAACCGCTTGCATACTTTCAAAATTCGTTAATAAGGTCCAAGGTCGAAGGTCGGTTGTGGGTAGTTCGCTATAGAAATATGAAATAATTAAAAATTGCGCTCTTTTTTAAAGCGTATAGATAAGTGGACGAGCTCATAGCCCACCTGGTGGTTACTGGAGCCCATAGACATCTACAACGTAAATGCGCTACCCATCTTGAGATATAAGTTCTAAGGTCTCAGTGACAACGGAGTCGTAGTGGATATAATGTTTTACAAATTAAAACTACTTTTACCGGTTTAATCTCGCAGTTTTTATTGTCATTACATTCTATTTCTAACGTTTCAAATACCTCACAGTTTTTGTGGTCACGAACGGCTGGTATTTCCCTACCTATTCACTGGTAGCCTAAGAAGCTATTTCAGCTTTTCGCGGATGAGTTGATGAGCTCACGGGCTCAGATTAAGCGAATTTACTAACACTAGCCCTGGTAAGAACAGTGCTTCGCAGAAATTAGCATCGGATCCGAGAGTTGTGTCAATAAGTCAGTGGGTTGTGTATATAAGTTAGTTCAGTTGTCGAAGTCTTCGCCTTAATCGAAGAGTTCGATGAGAGTGGTGATTGGTGCTTGGGAGGCCTAAAAGCACCGAGTAAGTAAGGAAGGTAAGTAATTAGCAGCGGCCACGATATGAGGGTTATCATGTCGCGCCACTTTGTCGAAGTAGCGTTGTGACGCTACCTTATGATACTTACGTATCGGTTCTAAATTTAAATCGTCGTGAAGGTCGATATTCTTCACGTACCACCGTACTCCGATAATGACGGTTTCTACTCGATAAGTTATATCATAAGCTTAAATTCATTCGTTCTTGCTTCGTCCCAAAAATTAAACCACAAGCTTTTTCATCGGGAGCATTTCTATACATCTTCTTCTATCTATACTAATATTATAAAGAGAAAAGATTTGTTTGTTTGTTTGTTTCGAATAGGCTCCGAAACTACTGGACCGATTTGAAAAATTCTTTTTCCATTAGAAGCCGACATTGTCCCTGATGAACATAGGCTACTTTTCTTAATTTTTTTTTTTTGGTTTCATGTGTGTTTTAATGTTTCCGAAGCGAAGCGAGGGCGGGTCGCTAGTATATAGATAATGTTAAAACACCAAAATAAATCTTCATTTAATTTTCAGCTGAATTAATTACTCGTTCAAAGTCAACAAATTTTCCCTTTGTAAATATCATATTTCTTTTGTGTAAACCGTAATATTTAATTTCATTTATAATATTTACTCATACATTGAGACACTCCGCGCAGAAAGCCTCTGAAAAGCCTACACTAATTAACTCTTTTGATGTAGAAAGTAAATTTATATTGTAATATAACTTTGTTATACTCTGTTTGACTTTAGTATTGTTTTAACCTTTCACTTTGCTTTAGCACGGATTGTTTTTTTGGCTTAGTACATTGTAATTCCCCTAAGATTTCGAGTATTTTTCAACAAGGCATTTGAAAATATGAAACAAATAATATGTATATTAGTATAAATTTAAATATATACGGCCGCCCCACCACCCTGCCTATTTCTGCCGTGAAGCAGTAATGCGTTTCGGTTTGAAGGGTGGGGCAGCCGTTGTAACTATACTTGAGACCTTAGAACTTATATCTCAAGG